CTAAAAGGTTGTAGCACATTTTCCTTTCGCTGGCAATAAAGATTCAAACTGACTGAGGGCTAGACAGCTAAGTTGACAAAGGTCACTGAACCGTGGTATATGTGGTATTTGTGAAGAAATTGGCTCATGCTGCAAAACTGGGTTTTCTGTTAAGAGAGCTCAGTGTATACATTGTTTCCTGCATATATGTAAACTCTTTTTTCATTTGTTTCACTAAATCTCTTAGAATGTTTTTTTATTGTTTGTTTGAAAATCATCAATGAAATCTCGAAAACAAAATGTACATTTTTAATAAACTTCAAGTAGCTTCTATTAAGCCGGGCATACAATGTGCGATGTTTTCAATCGTTGCATGCAGCTGCAGCTCATGATGTATGTGCAGCACGATGCTCTGATGCAATCTACCTGCTCACGATGCACGTCTAAAAACCACGTCGGACTCGTGTGTCTTTCAGCCAAACGAGTAAAAGAAGAATATGAAGCTCACTAGAGTGAAATGCGCTGCCTTGGCAATTAGTTCAATTATGAACTGAAAGCCCTGAAAAAGAAAAGGCGGGACGTTTTTGGACAAAGACATGGCAAATGTCGTTAATAGGGTCTGTCAATTTTACAGAAAGAACTCCAATTCACCCACACCCCCGCCATGCTTCTGTGTTTACATCTGAGAGGAAGTAGAAAAAGAAGAGTCCTTGTTTGCGCATGCCCACTGAGCGATTTAACCCGACCTCACAATTCCTGATCAGGAGGTGGTCGTGAGAGGCTGATCGCCCCTCGTTACCCCCTCGTAACCCTACACTAGACGATGCACGATGCATGGTCAATCTGAAGGTTGGCCCGATCAGAAAATTCTTGCACGACTGGAAAGTCGCCCCGAAAAGGGCAAAAAAAGTGTAAGCCCAGCTTTAAGTTATGTTCTCACAAAATGCCAATGATCACAGCTGGAGCAGAGGATTCCCATGCATTCTCTATGTAGAGTGTGGATCTTGAGCAAATCAAAGTGGAGCAAAGTAAAGCAGAGCAAGTTCAAAATCACTTTATCACTGCCTTGCCTTTAAATGAAGTTGAAAAACCTTCCCTTTTTGTTACATTCCCACCATGAAATCCAATCAGGGACTAGATGTGGTTGTGAGCTACAGTGAAGAAGTGCAGTTGAGACATGCTTTTTCTGATAAAAAAATGGAAGATAGACAAATAAATTTGACTATTTTTTGTGTCGTTACGCCATTGATGAAAGTACAACAATTTGAACCAGTCCTTGCTGGAAACCGACATGCCAGCTGCAGGTATAGTGACCAATAGTCCTGCGATCAGCGAAAAAAAATGTAACTTATAATTGCATAGTATATAATGACTTGTCCCAATAAAATGGCAGTTGCTTCTAAGTAAAAGAGATTTTGTCATTTAGTGAGGAATTAGGTTTGGA